TTTCGTAATTTTAAAGTTCGTCTAACACTATAAGCTTTTCTCATTTTGTCTCACACCTTTTAGATACTGGACGCCCAAATCAAATTTATTAGTAATCCGATTTTTTCAGCTCTTATTTAAAAATTATTTTTTATTCATCCAGTCTCATTGACAGTTCACTTAACATTTTAACTTTAAAGGGGGAAAATGGGAGGAAATGGGGGGAGGGAGCATTTAATGAAACTCTTTGTTCTTTAAAGTTAGAAACATGAAAATTTAATTTACAGCTATTGAGCATAAATAAATAATGACGTGTTTCAGGGTTTTTGGATTTTTTACATTTTAAGGGGGGAAAACGGGGGGTGAAAGTTTGTAAGGGACTATCGATTTTTTTTGTTCTCTATGAAGTTAGAAACATGAAAATTGGAATTGCAGCTACTGAGTACAAATTAATAATAATGTGTTTTAGGGTTTTTATATTTTTACATCTTGAGGGGGCAAACGGGGGTAAAAGTTTGTATGGGAGTATAACTTTTTTGTTCTCTTTGAAGTTAGAAACATGAAAATTGGAATTGCAGCTAATGAGTACAAATTAATAATGACGTGTTTTAGGGTTTTTGAATTTTAAAATTTTAAGGGGGGAACGGGGGGCTAAAGGTTTATTCGAAAATATCGATTTTTTTTAAAGGTAGGAATTTGAAAATTGGAATTGTAGGTTCTCATCATAAATAAATAATGAAGTGTTTCATGGTTTTTGAATTTTCACATTTTAGGGGGGGGGGGGGGGGGGGAAATTAATAAAAATTATTAAAAATTATTAAAAATTATTAAAAATTATTAAAAATTATTAAAAATTATTAAAAATTATTAAAAATTATTAAAAATTATTAAAAATTATTAAAAATTATTAAAAATTATTAAAAATTATTAAAAATTATTAAAAATTATTAAAAATTATTAAAAATTATTAAAAATTATTAAAAATTATTAAAAATTATTAAAAATTATTAAAAATTATTAAAAATTAATAAAAATTAATAAAAATTAATAAAAATTAATAAAAATTAATAAAAATTAATAAAAATTAATAAAAATTAATAAAAATTAATAAAAATTAATAAAAATTAATAAAAATTAATAAAAATTAATAAAAATTAATAAAAATTAATAAAAATTAATAAAAATGAATAAAAATTATTAAAAATTAATAAAAAAGGAAGTCACGTATTTTTTATATTAATAACACGACTACATCGAGCAAAGTCGCGAACAAAGTCGCGGGCAACAGCTAGTATAATATATATTTACAAGTACCACTAACTTTTATATGTTAAAATACGTACTTATCCGTAATGGATGTCATGGTAAGTCAAATTATTACTAACCCTCCTCTTTGACCCTTGACTGTACAGTTTTTAACCGACTTCAAAAAAGGAGGAGGTTCTCAATTCGTCCTAATATTTTTTTTATGTATGTTCAGCGATAATTCTTTAACACGGTGTCCGATTTTAATGATTCTTTTTTTTTTTTGTTAGAGGGGTACCTCAGGCGTGGTCCCATGTAAATTTGGTCAAAATCTAATAATTCGGCCTATTAGAAAATCCTGAAACTCTTCATTTTTTATATATGTTTAACGGTAATTCTTTACCACCTTGTCCGATTTCTATGATTCTTTTTTTGTTAGTAATGGGGTATCTCAGGGGTAGTTCCCTATAAATTTGGTCAATAAGTGGTGATGGCATCTGCACGATTTTGAAGTCGGTTTTTTAAAATTACTTTTATAAATTGTCATTTTTGTATTAGATATTTTTCACTTTTCAATTCAATGATTCTATGACTCCATTTAGGTGTGCCTGATGATGAAGTAATTACTTCGAAACCGGTCGCCAATAATTAAAATTGACTTTGTGAGAAATAAAGGACCTTTTTCTTTACACTTTCGTACATAATAATAATAAATGAAAAATCTTGCAGATCTCTAACGTTAAGAAATACATTTATGTTGAATATTTTATAATGGAGAAGAATTCGGTACGCCTATGCATATCGAGAGGTTGAAAACAAATCGGACGATAAAGTTTTTATTAAAATATTCAATATTAGATAAAGTATGTTTTTTGTTTATGTTCGATAGGTTAACCGATTTTTTTAGTAATAAATCAAAATATTACAAAGGTTTTTCGTGAAACAGTCTGAAATTGAAACAAAAAAATACAGTACTTTTAAATTTAATGCTCTTAATTGGAACAAAACTAACTAACTAAAAAAAAAAAACAGAATTATTTAACAATGCTAAAAATAATGGCAAGAATATATATTTTCATCTTTTTGTCCACGCGTAGATTTTATTAATTGCCTGTTGAATAGTTGTGTCCTCGGCAAATGCTGTTTTCACATTTTCCGTTTGTGTTATGTCGGAGGTAAATAACTGGCCCCAATACACTTCACTTAAGTCCCCTGTTTTAATTTATTTAAACGTGGAATATTCTTGTTTCCTTCATTTAAATAAATAAAACTATTATTAACAAAAACAAATTTAATGAAATTTTTAAAAATAAGACATTCTCTAGCGGCTACAGTAAAACGGTACCCTTGATAGGCTTTCCAAAAATCCCCTGCGTACCAACTTCTAATGACAAAAAGTGTTTATATTGAAAATCCTATTTTAAAATTTAATGTGATGTCGAAAACTAAGCGTTTTTCGACCTTTGTTTATATAATTTTTTTTTATTGATTTTAAACGTTCTGTTACAAAAACTTAAAATTAAACAACGAGGAAAAAATATTAAAACAAACGCCCAGCATTTTATACCCAGGCCTCTTGATAGCACATTTTTATGAAACGCTGTTTTAAAATAGAATATATACAGTATGGTTCAAATGAAAGGAATAAATTCATTATAATGGAAGTAGTTGGTTTTTCGAAAAAATGCTCGGACAGGTCTTTTTTGTTTACTTAAAGCGCAATTTTTTAAATAGAATTCAATTTTCCCCCACTTCCCATTTTTGGGCAGTGACGTCATTGTCAATTTTTTTAAATAGTAACCCCAATTTTTTTTTTATTTTGATAGATCTTGCAATTTCCTACTCGGAAACATAATATTTGTAATATCTGACTTAACAATTTTTTTTGAATAAAAGTCATTTAAAGATCAGATACATAAATTTTATTTTATTTTGAAACACAATAAATGAATAAAAGATTATTTGTAATTCAGTGGTTCATCTAAAAAAAAAAATAATAATAAAAAGAATTTAATGACAATTTCAAAAATTCTTTTTTATTATTATTAATATTATTATTATTATTTTGTTAGATTAAGCACTTAATTACAAATAATTATCTTTTATTCAATTATTGTGTTCTCAAAATAAAATAAAATTTATGTGTCTAATCTTTAAATGACTTTAATTCAAAAAAAAATTGTTATGTAAGATATTTCAAATATTATGTTTCCGAGAAGGAAATTGCAAGATCTAACAAAATCAAGAAAACAAATTGGGGTTACTATTTAAAAAAATTGTCAATGACGTCACTGCCCAAAAATGGGAAGTGGGGGAAAATTGAATTCTATTTAAAAAATTGCGCTTTGGGTAAACAAAATTGACCTGTCCGAGCATTTTTTCGAAAAACCAACTACTTCCATTATAATGAATTTATTCCTTTCATTTGAACCATACTGTATATATTTTTTGTAATTTAATTGCTTTTTCTAAGTTAAATTCAAATTTAAAAATAATATGGCATGTTTATTTATTTAATAATTTACCGGCTAATGCCCAAGTAAGCTATTTAAATTAACTTATTTATTAATATCTCTAAAGTGTCACTTTTTTGGCCGCATTTACTTTACGGCCGCTGTTTTGAACACTGGTTTATCATAGATTCTGTACAAATTTTACTAGTTAACGATGGATTTTTATTCGATTTAAGCCTCTTTTCAATAAGAATAATGTAAAAAAAAAGATTTGGCTATACTTCATGAGTTAGTCTCTTAAAAAATGTTGTGTGCACATCGGCCGTATAATCTTGTTTTGGTCTAACCTGAAGTTGCTTGGCCTCGGCTACTCCTCGGCCGCAAATTTATAATTCGGCCGAAAAGATCAACTTATACAAATAACTCACCGACACACAAAAAAAAGAATCCGAATTTGATGTCCGTTTGGCCCTGTCGCCCTCCAGATTTGAGTAAAATGCAAAAACCCAAAGCAAAAAATTGCGAAAAATTGCAATTACAGCGATGAAAAAAATTTGCATAATCCATAAGTTCATGATAAAAAAAATTTGATATAATTCTGAATTGGTTTGATTTTTGATTTATCCTCAGGTAATTGCTGTCCTAAACATTTCACATTAGTAGAAAAGGTTCTTCGAAACATTCAAGAACAGGAGCAACTTTTAGAGATTTATATCTAAAAAGTCAAAACATAAAGCTTTGACGGGCCGCGCGTTACTTATTTCTTTAGATCATTATTTGTAATGTAACGTTTATTTTATGTATCTAAGACACTCATTTATTTTATATTTTATGATTTAATTTAATTGTATGAAATACAATACTAATTTATATTTATGTGAACAGATCGATATCTTAACTAAAACTTCGACTTCCAATGGCAAAACAGTCTATTTATTCATATGTGTGCCTTCTAGAATGTTCGCTTATCCGCCACAACTTGTTACCGAACAAGCTAGACCGATTCCTTCAACAAAATTGTTGTTTTCTTATTCATCTAAGGGTTCAGTACAATCTAGAAAAATAATTCACTTCGACTGACATGGTCCAAAGGCGTATCAATGAGGGCTTTCGGAAGTTGATTTATTTCATTGGATATTTTTTGTAATGGGAAAAATCAGAGAGGGACTGAAGGGACTGGACTGGTCGAAAGTGACTCACATGACAGTATATTTACTGTAAATAAATAATTATGTTCCGTTAAATCAATTTTATTAAAATTGTTTGAATTGTTAATAATGTATGACGCTGAACCGCTCCTAATCTTTGAATTGTTTGTTGCAGACATCCCGGACATCCCAGAGAGCATCGGCCAGCTCAGGCTGCTCCGCGTGGCCGACTTCAGTTCGAATCCGATTCCACGTCTTCCGCCCGCCTTCAGCCAACTCAAGTCGCTCACGCTTTTGGGCCTCAACGACATGTCGCTCACATCGTTGCCGCACGACTTCGGCCAACTCACCTCGCTCACGTCGCTCGAACTCCGCGAGAACCTGCTCAAGGAGTTGCCGGCCTCGCTGGCGAAGCTGACCAACTTAGAGCGGCTGGATTTGGGCGATAACGAAATCGAAGAGTTGGTGAGTATCAAATTGATAAAAATAATGTTTCTCGCTGTGGCTAATTGTCCGCCGACAGAGTGTTTTATTGACGGACAAACGGTAATTGTATAAGGAATATCAAGATGGTTCTAAAAACCAATGGTTGTTGGGTCTCACGTCAGTAATCACAGATTTTTATTTATTTTATTTATTTCTTTCTAAGGTCATTACTAACTAACTAACTAACTACCCGATATATTTTTTAGAAAATTGGTTTACATGTTTCCCTTTAACTGCCCAAACAACTGATGTAATTCAGTTCCGGGTTAGCAAAAAACTTATTAATTGTTTTGTCCTTAAAACCACACCCTGTATATCAGAATTTTCAAAATCCGTTTTGATATTATATTTAAAATATTTTCTTTCAGCCGTCCCATATAGGTAAACTCCCAGCTCTTCAAGAACTCTGGTTGGATCACAACCAACTCCAAAGCCTTCCGCCCGAAATCGGCCAACTCAGCAACCTTACCTGCCTAGATTTATCAGAAAACCGCTTAGAATACCTTCCCGAGGACGTGGCGGGTTTAGAAAGCCTTACGGATCTGCATCTGTCACAAAATGTATTGGAAACGTTACCGGACGGTATAGGAAAATTAGAAAAACTGACGATCCTTAAAGTAGATCAAAATCGATTGACTTCGCTAAACAGCAATGTAGGACATTGTCGAAATTTGCAAGAGTTGATACTGACAGAGAACTTTTTGAGCGAACTTCCTGTGGAGGTCGGAAAGTTAGTTAGACTTACCAACTTAAATATAGATAGGAACAGCCTAACGTCGATACCCGAAGAAATAGGCAATCTTGAAGAACTAGGCGTGCTAAGTTTAAGAGACAACAGACTTACAATGTTGCCTGACACCCTAGGCAATTGTGTCAGGCTTCACGTGCTCGACGTATCAGGAAACAGGCTTCCTTATCTTCCTTACACCTTGCTACAGTTGAGCCTTAAGGCTGTGTGGTTGAGCGATAATCAAGCGCAACCTTTGTTGACTTTTCAGACTGATAACGATCCTGATACGGGGAAAACGGTGCTAACTTGTTTTTTATTGCCGCAGCAGGAGTACCAACCGACTATCGGTGAGTGTTTTCTTTAAATATATTTTTTAAGCGTTGGTACAGTTTGAGAAGCGATTAAAATATTAAGACATAATTAACAATGTGAAATAGAATTCTTGTCTATCAGAAATATAACATAAATATGACATAAATATAACATAAATATGACATAAATATGACATAAATATGACATAAATATGACATAAGTATGACATAAATATGACATAAATATGACATAAATATGACATAAATATGACAAATATGACAAATATGACATAAATATGGCATAAATATGACATAAATATGAATATTTAACGTAAAGATTACTCTTTACGTTAAATTTACATTAAATATACATAGGGGGTCAATTTTGAAATGTTTAATATTTTTCGATAATCCATTTAGGGGGTAATCTTTTTAATAGGGATACTTATTCAGTGTGTTTACCCAAGTTGAAGTAAAAATATTAAAAATTAGAAATACAAAATGACGGATCCAATATGGCGCCCGAAAATATTAAAAATTTGCTTGGTTTACAAAAAAAAAAATGAAACCTGGGAGGTTGCTAAGGGGTGTTTGAGGTTACTGATTTTGAATATGACATTAAAAATTAGAAAAGCAAAATGGCGGATCCAATAGAGTGCATGAAAATATTAAAAATTGCAGGTTTTGCATGAAAGTGAGATCTGAAGCGTTTCTAAGGGGTTTTTGATGTCATTAATTTTGAATATTGTAACGATTGTCTAATTTATTTATAGTTTATTTATTTAAAACACTATTTATAATTTAAGACGTATTAATTAATTTATATAATACTTAGACACTAACTAACAATTCTAATTTATTACACTTTAACTTTTCATTACAATACTCTAAACTGAACTGTGCGCCGATGAGTCGGCTATTTATACCAAGCCAATTCCGTGCTCGTCTTTTCTGGGTGCTCCTGAAAATTCCATCTCTATGACTCAACGGCACACTCCGTCCGTTCTACCCGTTTCTTCTTCCGGAATACAGATGCCAGACCTCGAGCGTCGTAGATGTTGGCGGAAGTGCTATGGACCAGCGGGTAGTCTTTTGGAACCATGAGCAGGTCTTGTTGTTGCTCGGTTGTAACACCATGTCTTGCTTTTCCGGTACCTCCATATGCACCCATAAATTCTTCAAAGACAAGGTCAGGTGTTTCTTGGAGCTGGTTTACTTCTTTTTCCTCTTCATGGTCACCCTCAAATGGAGCCAGCCGGTTTTGGTGCACTACCCTTGGTTTACCGTTCGGGATCTTATACGGTAAATGACATCATTGATTATTTTCTTGATGATGTACGGGCCTTCCAAAGACCTTTGAAGCTTTGGAGAATAATCCTTTTGTCTTTTTGGGTTATGGAGCCAGACTTTGTCGCCTTCCTTGAAACATCCTTGTGTGGCTTGGGTATCGTATCGCTTCTTCATTCTGTCACTGGCGACTTGAAGATGCGAGCGGACCAATTCATGCATATCGTCCATTCTTCTTCGTAACTGGATCACATAATCTTCACCAGCTACATCTTCTCCAAGTCGGCATCCAAACTCGAGGTCGCACAATAGTCTCATCTCACGCCCAAACAGGGCCTTTGCTGGTGTTTGGCCTGTTGATTCATTGAAAGCGGATCTATAAGCCATTGCAAAGAGCGAAAAATACTGATCCCAATCTCGCTGATGGTTTGAAACAACTTTTGACAGATATTTTCCAATGGTCTTATTCATTCGCTCTACCATTCCATCAGATTGTGGGTGCAATGCTGTGGTTCGGGTTTTCTTTATGCCTAGTCTGTCACAGATTCCACGGAAGAGTTGGCTTTCAAAATTTCTGCCTTGGTCACTGTGGATCTCCAATGGCACTCCAAATCGACAGATAAACTCTTTTATCAATACGTCTGCAACAGTTGCGGCCTCTTGATTTAGAATTGAGTAGACTTCCATCCACTTCGTAAAATTATCCATGACCACCATCATGTATTTATTACCATTCTCGGTCGTGGGGAATGGTCCAGCAATATATAAGGCGATCCTCTCAAATGAGCTACCAACGTTGTATTGCTTCATGGGAGCCTTCCTTTTTCGCTGAGGTCCATTACTCATAGCACAGCTGGTACATTTCTTACACCAGTCCTTTACATCATCGGAACTATTCATCCAATAAAACCTTTCACGAAGGGGTTTCCTAACACCGAGATGTCCTCCTGATGGACTGTCGTGTAACTGACGAAGTACTTCGGCTACTCTACTTCTTGGAACGACCAACTGTCTTCTGTTCTCGGAACCATCATCATTTTCAAGTACTCGCTTTAATAAGCCATCTTCCAGGATAAAGGAGTCCCACTGAGCCAAATTCGACTTAAGTACTGGAGAGATTAGATACTTCTTGCCAAGTAGGTCGACGATTTTCCTCTTTCCATTGTCGCATTTTCTTTAGAATGGTCTTTCTCTTATTCTTCCCTAATTTTAGCAGGGGCCCACTCATCGTTGACTACCGTTGTTCTTAGTAGTCCACTTTCTTTGGACTCCGCTTTGTTGCAGTGGGAGCGTTCTGCTGGACACGGTCTTCTACAAAGAGAATCGGCATTTCTGTGGCTTATTCCGGCTCTATGTTCGATCTTAAAGTCGTACTCTTGAAGTCGTTCATCGTTCAATCCATCTGGCGATTTGACCCTACGGGTTTTTGAACTGCATCAACCACTTTAGAGCAGCATGATCGGTACTTATTAAGAATTTCTTTCCATATAGGTATTGGTAGAAGTGTTCCACGCATTTCACAACTGCCAGGAGTTCTCTTCTCGTGACGCAGTAATTTCGCTCAGGTTTCGAGAGCACTTTACTAATATAACCCAGTACTCTTTCTTTTCCCCCTTGAATCTGTGAAAGCACTCCTCCAATTCCCACATTACTGGCATCAGTATCCAGGATAAATTCTCCCTCTGGGTGCGTATGCTTGAAAACGAGATAAACTGAAACTCCCCGAGGAATATATTCACTTTATTTTCACTTTCCCAAAAAATTGGTATTCTTGAAATAACGTGAAAGCCAAGGGAGGAGAAAGTAGATGGTGAAAATAAATACAGAGTTGTCAGATCGTTTTAGATCATCCGACCAATTAGAAACTACGAGCTTTTGACAGCAAATGTCACTTCTGGCATTTTAAAAATTTAGGTTATTATGATTTCTTTTTATCGACAACGGAATTTTGACTTTTTCACGTATACACATTTTAAAATACTATTGTTGATTAAAAATAATATTAACTGTTTTAAATAATTATCAAACTAAAAATTCAAATATCTTGGCAATAATTCAAGTAATATTTTTCTAAATAGTTTTAAAAACGTCTTTATTTACAGTTAAAAACTCTACGATTGTAGGAGGTAGGTACCTACCTATTACTTTCCTAAATAATCATTTTAAAAACACACGAGTCAAAGTACAAACAAATTTAAAAGATGTTATTACTATTGAAAAAGGGGAGTATTACCTATAGTGTACGGGGATAGTTTTACACTACTACCTTTTATAACTAAAGAAGTTGTTGCTCCATTTTGTCAATTTGTCTAAAATGTATCTGTATTGAATAAAAATTATTCTTATTATTTTCGCGTCTAAATCCATTTTAAAGGGAAAGTAAATAGCGCAAATGTATAAATATACCTGCAAACTACTAACAACATCAATGAGGTTATAGTAATATTTTGTTTTATTTATTTAATTTCTGACAAGCACTGCGCATGCTTGTGAATTGAATTCTCTCGTTATTTTCATTCTCTCTACCTAAAACTAGGAGAAAGTTTTGAGAGAAATTTCTCCACCAATTTTGGTGAATTTGATTTCAAGAATACGAATTTGTACAAAGGAGTAGAAAGTGAGAATTTTCTCTCAATATTTCTCACTCCCCGATTTCAAGAATAGGCACCCTGGTAGTGGGTAGCCTAATATTGGCGCTGTTGTTAAATGCTTCTTTAAAGTTTCGAAGGCCGTTTGGCAGTCTTCGTCCCAGCATAATTCTCTTGCTTCTTCTGTGAGTCGCGTTAGTGGTTTAGCAATATCTGCAAACTTCTTTATGAATCTTCTGTAGTACGTACAAAGCCCAAGAAAACGTCTTATTTGGTGTTTATCTTTTGGTTGTGGCCACTCTTTGATAGAAGCGACTTTTTCCTTATCTACAGCCACGCCATCCTTGCTGACGACATAACCCAGGTAATTAACTTTATTTTGAAATAGTTGGCACTTCTTGGGGTTTAGCATCAGTTGGGGAGCTTGAAGTCTTTTAAAAACATCTTCCAAGTTTTTTAGATGTTCATCAAATGTCTTCCCCAAGACTATGATGTCGTCTAAATACACCAGGCATGTTTTCCAGGATAACCCTCTCAATACATTTCAAATGTCGCAGGGGCATTACATAATCCAAATGGCGTAACATTGAATTGCCACAATCCAGATCTGGTGGTAAAAAGCTGTCTTTTCTTTGTCTACTGGGTCCATTTCCACCTGCCAGTATCCAGACTTCAAGTCTAAGGTAGAGAATAGTTTACTTCCGGCCAATGTGTCCAAGGTATCGCCGATACGAGGCAGAGGGTAACTGTCTTTCTTGATAAAATCATAACTTTTTTGTAATTCAAGTTTAAAGTTCTCTCTCTCTCCTCCAGAATGGTCAAAGCTTAATTTATTGTTATTTTCAAGCATTAGCTTTTATGCTAATAAATTATTTACAGCAGTTGTTTGTAAGTCTTGAACATTTGAGAAGAAAAAAAAAGTAAAGAAACAATAATCTTTCGTGATTTCAAGGTTAATTTTTACACACTTTCCAACACGAAATGCTACAAAAAAATACTTTGTGTGCAACAAATGACAAATTATTCTCCATGTCTCACTTATGCTTATAGAAATCTTTCCAGTCGTTAAATATTACGAAGTTCAGTTTTGATATTTTCCACTTTTGGCCAAAAAGTAGGCGCAACATATGACGGTGCACCCGCGAATATAGCTTTCAAGAA